GCTGTAGCATGAAGCACACCTATTTTACACTCCTGATTCAGAACCAACACTAAAACTTGATTCCCAACCAATTCCTATCCAGTAGGGGTGTGCAAAACAGATAGTACTTGATTTGGATTTGGATTCAGCCTGAATCAGGGACAGTGATTTGATTAGTTGAATTGTATCACTGTCCCCAGTTCAATTTGGCCAAATCTGAAGATTTGAAGCCAATTCGGAGAAATCAGCTTTAAATGTTTTTTCTACATAACTCAAGGTAACAGGCGTGGCTTATGAACACTGCTATGGTGGGGTGGATGGAGCATCCCACAGGAGTGTGGAGGGGCCCCCCACGTGCTCAGCAGCGAACCCAGAAGTGGACTGGGAGTAGTTCTGGGTCTGCCACCGAACATGCGGAGGGCCCTGCTGTGCTTCTGTGGGACGCTCCACCTGCCTTGCCATCTCAGCATTGAAGAGCCGCTTGGTACCCTGAGGTATGTAGAAAAAACATTTAAAGCTGTGTCTATGTCCAAATTGTCTAATCTTTCCGAATCTATTCAGAGGGTTCTGATTTGATTCGGAGAGATTAAAGGGTCTCCTGATTCAATTCAGATTTGGAGGTTCAGCTGCCGAATCGGTTCGAATCTTCCCCGAATCGAATCAGTGACCAAAGCTTTGCATAGCCCTACTATTTAGGCCAACCCTCTTCTCTTTGGCAACATCTTTAATATATCCATTTCCCCAGGCCTGTAGCATGGCTCCTTGGAAGGCAGTTTAAGTTGTCTTGCAAAAAGCCTATGAGCAGGAATATTATCCTATCAGGATCCTGGGCTATAATGGATCTTGTAGACTATTACAGACTTAAGTGAAAGAACTACTTCCCTAATGCTATAGACAGCAGGGATTCCAGGCAAGTCTTCAAATACCATTAATAATCTTGGAAGTAATGCATTACTGTACAGTGAAGGATTTTTTTGCTGCTGTTTTAAAGGATATTTGGCTCTCTTTCTCTCGGGGGTGGGGGTTAAACAAAAGGATTGTTTTGGAGAACCAGATACAATTATATAGCTGCATTGTGTTCTCATTTACTTAAATTAAAAGATTATATAGTTGTCTTGAAGTTTCCTGTAAGTGTCTCTCTTGGCAATCTGCAACATCCTGCTCTAGGAAAATGCACTAAATACCTTAATGCCACATTAAAGAGGAGTAGCCAACCATTAGGATCAGGAAATTCCAAAAGTTAAGTCATGCACATTGCCCAATAGTATCCTCCAATTCCATTTCTCTTAGTATTGCAACCTCTGTACATTACTGTTTGCTGTTAGTACATACCAGTATTTATGGGAGTATGCAACAGGTTAGAAACTAACTTTTGGAATAGTAATCACTCAGATCAGCAATTAAATTACCTTTATTACAGAAGTATTGCTGTCACCTTTTAAAAATACTTATCTTCTCCTGCCAAATATTAATTTATGTCACCCACAGGCCTGAACTGACATGAGCAATTGTACTAGGTACTATAGAGACACGTGGCAAGGAACAATACATACCTTCAAGAACTTACAATCTAAATAAACAGATCTAAAAGACAGGAGAAAGGAAGACTTATTCCAATTTTACAGGTTGGTAACAACCTGGACCCGATGATCTTCCAGGGTCCCTTCTGGCCTCACAATCTATGAATCTATGAACCTGAGAGAAGCCAAGTCAGAGCAGGGAAGCTCACAGCAGAGCTATAAATGTGACTCTTGTGACTTGAGCACAAAAATAAAAATTTTCCTGGTAAGAGGTAGTTAGGTATTAACTGATATTTCAGCAACATGACCGCATATACCCATAGATCTAAATAGCTCCAGGTATGGGAACTGGGTGGGGGACCAAAAAACCCCACACATACACCAGAAACAAAAATAAACAAAACAAAGCAAACAACACCCCACCTCCCAAACTCATGAGCAAAACCAGCCATTTCAAATTCAAATATCTGAAAACTAATCTACATTTTTCACACTGGAATTGGGTTTCTCCTCCTCCCCCTCATTTCTCAGGCAGGTTTACACTGAGAGCCTACGTTAACCTTCCCTTTTTTCAGCTGTACAAGTGCACATCAGGTATTCATATTTTATGGAAAAAAATATTGCATGTTAAACCAAGCAAGTTAAACCAATTTTGATTATATCTCCTGTCCAAATTCACCATTTTATTAAGATTACACATGGCTGTTTAAATAACTTCCTTGTGAGCTAAAAAGAAATAGGCCAAATGTTGGACTTCTCTAACTGTCCTGTGTAAAAAAAAAGAGATGGAAGAGGGTACTGGGAACAACTGCACTTCACTTGTGAATCTCCCTCATCTAATGGCTGTAGTTAGAAGTGACAGATGAGCTTTATATACGTACACATACATAATTACCAGATTACACATCCTGACACTTGGAGTCAGGTTGTCAAGTATAAAACTGACACTAGCACAAGACATATTCTAAACAGATGATAAATTTATTCTTGGTAACTATGAGAACTGGTTACTCACTGTCTCACACAGCTGTTGATGCTGAATGTGCTGCTTTTTTAAAATTGCTGAATTTTAAAAATTCATTTTTCAAAACACAAAACTCTTCTCCATTTCAGGCAGACAAAAATATGTACTGTTGAAAATTTATAACAGGAGGTAACCCTAATATTAATCAAGATTTTAATTTGGTACCTCTTTCAAAAAAAAAAGAGCTTCTCAAGAATCACTTCATTCTCTAGCTTAGTAATTTGTCTTAAATAGGAAAACTGTTCAGTTGAATACAGGCATTAAAAACTACAGTATATGGGACAGCGAGCTTTACTCTACATTTGGCATTCCTCATCGTATAACTAGAAAGGCTAAAACAAAGGTCACAAACTGCCATGCTTTGTTGCTAGCAAACAGAAGCAAGCAGTTTCCAGCCATTCATTAAGACAGACTGATATATGTTGGCACATACAACGTTGACATCGTGTGTGTGTCTGTGTTCTAAACAAAACAGCATCGGCAAGCTACCAAAGCTGCTGACCTGGCCCACACTAATACAAGTATCGGGCATGCTTGACCTGAAATGAGGTAAAAGAGGCAAAAAAAAAACCCCACCAACGGTTAATATGTGAAGAATTCAAATTAATCCATAAGATTACTAGAAGTAAATCCAACCTATGGGATAAGCAACAATCATCATATAATTCTTTAAAAATATCACTTGAAAACTGAAAGGATTTTGCAAGGATAAATTTGGACAGTTTCAGACAAATGATAACAGAGTTTGAGTTCCCCCCAAAAAGTATCTGTACTTGTGAAATAGGTTTATATGCAGAGACATGGGGAAACCAAGAGCTAAAAACATTATCCCTTAATCTTTTACATGTATGCTAAAAACCAGTCCAATATCAGAATCCTAATATTTGGCAAGAAAAACTGTCAAACTTATTCTTTCTAAATTTGTGATAAAGTTACCACCCAATCCCCTGGCTTCTCCATATACAGAAATATTTGCAGAACTCTTCCAATTAAGCCAGCATACAAAACACTCATTCTGCCTCACCAAGAGGCAATAAAAAGTGAAAGGTACAGTTTACACCAAAAACATAAACACAATTTGGTCAGCGATGCGCTTCTAAACATAGTGTTTAGATTTAAAGCGTTGTAATTATAAACTTGGAGGTTGTAATATGATTAGTATTTACACAGTGGCACAGACAGAGCAATACGTGGTGGTGGTAATAACCAAGTTTGATGGTGACTCTATTCACTCCATTAATGCAGGCCCATAGACCAACTTGGGGTTGTGCAGTTTTTTAGGAAGATAAATTTTCTATACATGACACAAGGTAAGATAACTACTGTACCTTAACAGATGGCAAAATCTTCCCTTAGTGTTTTTCCTAACAGGATTATTACTAGCTTAATTTAAAATTTCATAATTTCTTATATAGTATTTTTTTTAAAAGGTCATTTATCAAGGGATTCAACATACCACTTTAAGGATTCCAGTGTAGAATCCAAGACATCCTGTTTTCCTTGCATTTGATGGACAATAGCTAATATATTGTGGACTTCTTCTGGTCCTATTTTACCATTTTCTATTTGAGGCAAAGGTTCCTAAACAATCAAAAGATTAACACTATATAAAATTAGCAGTACGTAAGGATGACGGAGGAATGTCTGTTACATCACATTAGAATAATGGTTCTCAACCTTTCTAAACCCAAGGAACATCTTGATAAACTCAATTGTTGGAAAATACTAGCTTTTATTATTTTTTCTGTAGTCTGAAAACGAGAGAAATTTTCATGTTGCAAGCTCAAAACAGGTTCTTTTAACACTATGGATTCCTATTTGAAATTTCTGGGTTAATCATGTGCATCATCTTTGCACACACAACAGTGCTAACACTGCTTGGCAACCTGCAGCACTCCTGAAAGGATCTTGAGGCACCCCGGGGTGCTGTGGTACCATGGCTGGAGAACCACTGTTTTAGAAGGTTCGTGAGGTCCAGAGGGAAGAAACCTGTGATAAGCTTGTAATTTTCTGTTCTGTTTCTATCCTTCCGATAGAAGAACTTCAAACACTAGGGCTGAAGTACTCCTTACAATGTCAATATTAAAAGCACACAGAGTAAAATTATGAAAATACCACAGAATAGAGGCAGCCAAACATCAATCATCACATGCGGCTATAAAAGGAATATGAAATAGTTGCTGTATTTTGCTTGGGTTCTGCAACAGCCCTTGATAACAGAGAGGCTTATTCAGCCCTTAGAAACTGAGCACCAATGACAGATGGTACAAGACCACAAATCAGGCATATTTGTGCTTAGAAACTTCTTAACTTTCCCCTTATAGAAAAAAAATGGAAATACATACTTGGAAGTAGTTCACTCAAATTTGCATTAACCAGAAATGTATTGAGGAAACACTTACTTTCCTTTTAATCTTTGAAATTAGTTCTTGCTGCTTTCTTTTCTGAAAAAAGGGTGTTGCTATTTACCAGAACTGTATCATTCTTGCTTGGCTGGTCCAATGTCAGACTGTATCACCTTATGAAAGCCATCTAAAAGAAAAGCAGCAGCAAAATTTGAGTTTGATATCTCTACAAAAATATTTCCCAACTGCTACTGTAAACCTAATTCAACAAAGGATTTTCATTTAGAACATCCACTGTAATCTTGAAACTCCATTTTTAATGGTCATAAAGAAAGAGTACCAGTAGGCTTAGTTTAGGAAAATATCACAAGCAATTACTTTAGAAAACAGGACATTCATAAAATAACTTATGTTACATCCATGTCATTTTTCTCTTGACCTTGTGTTCACCACTGAGGAAATAAAACCTGCCTGCTCATTCTTGCTGGTGTGTACTCAAGACCTCCAAGCAAACAGTACAAACTGCTTGGTAGTTGTCCTGAGAACTTCTGAATGCATCTCAGGGTAAGGGGAGAACTCATACTTGCTCCTGAACTGGTCATACCATCTGTTTGGAGACCTTGGGTGTTGACAGCGAGAGAAGTGGGCAGGCCTTACTTCCTTGGGTAGGACCCTGGGCATCAGGACAGAAGAGACATAGACATAAATCCAGTGCCATGAAACTTACCATAAGCCAGACAGGTAAGCAGTTAAGAGTTTAAAAATCGAAGCACTTTTTAATTTTTTTCTGCTTATAGTTATTTTAAGATTTGAATATTGAGCAAACAGAACAGAAGTTTTCCTTCTTGCTCTCCTACCGTAATGGAGCTCTGAAACATATGGTGTTCAGGTTACTCTAATCTGAAAGACCCTGGATGCTTGGGAGCAATATCCTAGGATCATATTAAAATGGAAAGAACCAGTTGCATTGGTAGGTGTGTTGCCAGTAAGTCAAGGGAAGTGATTATTCCCCTCTATTCAGCACTGGTGAGGCCACATCTGGAGTACTATGTTCAGTTTTGGGTCCCCACTACAGAAAGGATGTGGTCATACTGGAGAGATTCCAGTGGAGAGTGACAAAAATGGTGAGGGGGCTGGGCGACATGACTTATGAGGAAAGACTGGGGGAAATGGGCTTATTTAGTCTAGAGAAGAGAAGACTGATAGGAGACTTAACAGCAGCTTTGAACTACCTGAAGTGAATGGGGTTTGAAGAGGATGGATCTAGACTGTTCTCAGTGGTGCCAGATGACAGAGCAAGGAGCAACGGTCTCAAGTTTCAGCAAGGGAAGTTTAGGTTAGGTATTAGGAAGAATCTTATCACTCGGAGGGTCATAAAACACTGGAACAGGTTACCCAGAGACGTGGTGGAAGTTCCATCCTTGGAGGTTTTCAAGACCCAGCAAGACAAAGCCTGGACTGGGATGATCTAGTTGGGGAGGATCTTGCTTTGAGCAGGGGGTTGGACTAGATGACCTCCTGAAGTCCCTTCCAATCCTAGCTTTCTATGATTTTCTGATCTAGCAGGTGATTTGTTACTGGACTGCAGTACAGTGCACACTGGCTTGGATGCGCCTCATATTCCTACAGTAGGGTGAATTCTTATGAATGCCTCAAAATTCAACATTTAAAAGCTTATGTTTGGCAAATGAAAGGGGACAACCCCCTACCAAAAAAATACAGAACAAATACAGACATACAGAAACTGTGAAAAAGATTAAAGAGATTATCATTCTTCTTGGCCAAAGGTTATTTGAAACAGCAAACATATGTTGCAAAATTTTAAAACAACCAAGACATTTGCAAAAGAAAGTGACTCCAGGTTTGCTTGTTCATGATTCACTGTCATCTGGAAGATGACAGATAGAACTTCCAGATTTACGACAATCAGTATTTTTCATGCCAGAAAAGTGTCATGCTGCCATTTCAAGTGTTTAAACAGAGCAGTACATCACTGAACCATTCACTCCATGGGCTTTGGTGAATAATTCAGTAAGACGGATAGACAGATGTGTTTCTGATTTGGTCTCTCAAGACTTCGATAGCTGGTGTGGCCTGCACAAAAGGCAGTGCTCTCAGTCAACCAGCAGTGGAGGGAGGAGGGGAAGGCTGCTCCCATCTTAGATGCTCCCCTTACCATGGGAAACACCAGTCTACCTGGTGATCACATAAACTGCCTTTTTTGCAGTTTCTATGGGAATCACAAATTGAGTAGATCCCTACATATCTGGTCTTCAATTGAATTAAATGGTCCTCTTTAAAATAAGATTGTGTTTGTATTATTTCATAGACATTAGGGTTGGAAGGGACCTTGGAAGATCATCAAGTCCAGCCCCCTGCCCCAGGGGTAGGAAGTCAGCAGGGATCATAGGATCCCAACAAGATAAACGACCAGATGTCTTTTGAAGGCATTCAGAGTAGGTGCTTGAACCACCTCCGGCAGCAGTCTATTCCAAACCTTGGGGGCTCGGACAGTAGAGAAGTTCTTCCTTATGTCCAGCCTGAAACGGTCATAGAGGAGCTGATGATTGTGCACTTTGAATTTAAATCTTGTTTGTTGAGCTTTAGTTCAAAGTACTCCGCTGCCATTTTTTAGCTCAGGGACACTGATACACATAAAACAAGTCTGTTGGAGCATG